CTTCAACTACTACAACGGACTATGGAAATGTGGTTCACCTCTGGAGAAGTTCAATTTCAGAAAACTTGCACTAAAACAATTCATAAATAATTTTGTTTCTCGTTAAAAATGCTGCCCAAAATAAAGATTTAATTAGTTTTAGTATGTTTGGTACTGGAATGCCTATGCATTAACTTGTAGCTGCAATTCCGTTTCCCTTCAAAAGCAGCTGGCATTATTTTTAGTGAGCAACAAGCTTGACATAGTGGAGTCTGGAAAATGAACTCTGCAAGCAATAGCTTCCTAGAGCCTTCCCTGTAAAAAAATAAAATAAAATAAATTAATAGTGATAGAGGTGGGAACTTAAATCCAATCAAAATGTGAAGTTGTCAGATGGCTACTATGATTCAAAAGCGGAAATAATTATTTTCCTAGGAGGAAACTTTTCTATAGTTCTGCAAACTCTCCTGGAAGCCCAGAGCCCGGTTGCTTCGAATGCAGAAGCGAGGCCGCGATCGCCAGGCGGCCGCAGGGCAGCCCAGAAGGGAGCAGCGAGTCCTTGCCTCCGTTTCTCACCCGTCTGTAAAGGCCAACGCTTTGGGGTGGCGGGAGAAAGCGTCCCGGGGCTTCGGCTACCTATTTCTGTGTTCAAAACGGGACGAAGCAAAACTCTCTCGCCTGGCCGCGCGTCATGCCAAGGAAGCGGGGCAGGACCAGGGCACGGCGAGAGAAGGCGGTGGGGCTCCTAAGCAGAGGGTTGTTGGTGCTGGCAGGCAACTCGGCTCTCCCTAGAGGCGAAGCTTCTGCCAAGCTAGACCGACTATTTATACACGAAAGCGGCCGGCCTTCTTTTAGGGCAAGGGAACCAGAAAGGATGGGGAACGCCATCAGCCAGGGTTTGCCATGTTGTGGGAATGCAGCCCCTTGAATTCGCGGGAGAATCTCCCAGGGCTCAAGTCCTGGGCGGAACCCGAAGCCGCCTCTTCGCCACGGAGAGTCCGGCCGCGCCCAGGTGTTTTTGCCTAGGATGAAACGAGCCCTTGGCTCGAGAGGTTGGGACAGGTCTCTTTAGCGCGTAGGACGTGCCTGCTGTGGTGGAAAAGAAGCATTTTTTCCGACCTTTGATATGTTCTGGACACTTTTCAGCCACTGTGTCGGGTGTGTGCCAAAAGATGGGGGAATTGATAGGCTTTGCCCATAAGAAATCAGGGCCGCTCGGAAGTGCGTATGGAAACTCATTTTTTTCTCGCCTTTCTCCAAAATCACTTCAGTAAACCGAGGTGCATTCGTTTTATTTGGGATTTAAATCTTCTCCTCCACTCTTCTCTCACCACACTTCAGCTAACTCGGTGTGGTTATGAGGTTGTGGGTGAGCGGTTGTGGGTGCTGGCTTCCCCACTAACTGTGAAATGACCGACCCAGATTGGATCCTGTGTGAAAATTTATTCTGCACATGTAAATAAATGATGGTCACCATTCGGTCTATGCTTTTGGGAAGGGCCATGTAAAATACCTTTTGAAGGAAATAATTGCAGCTTTTCCTTGTGTCCAAGAGAATCCTAAGCTTTGCAGACCAGGCTTGCTGGGAAATGAGTCACAGAGATTCCAGTGCTTCCTCTTGCAAGATTTTACAGAGTTTGTTGGGGAAACTTTCCACCAGAGGTTACTGAATTCAAACTGAGATTTATACCAGTGTCCTCTGGAGCCTGAAATCAAGGCTTCAAATCGAGTTCCACTCTCTTCCCAGAATCGTTCTCCATGCAACAAGCGGCGTAGGGGGGAGAATTTCGGCATTTGGCAGCCCCAGAGACAGACCTAGGAAAGGTCAGAAGCTTTGGTTGGGGTCACCCTTGTGGTTCACCGGGTTCTGGCTTGCCGAATCCACCCAGTTGCCTGGTGGATTCCCATAACCACGGGAATTTGAGCCAACCCATCAGTTTGTAACAGAAGGGAGTTTGCTACACCCTGTTCCGAGGTAGGGATGGGCTCCTGCGATTTCAGCCTTCCTGTCAACTAGGGGGAAATGGTCTGACTTCTACTGAATGGGAAGTGAATGGTCCATTTCCAGCCCAGCGTGGTGGTGGGGTGGATTGAGTCTGCTTGAATTTAAAGACCCCTTTCCCCACAGCTGTGGAGCCTAATCCCAACCAGGTCCTTTTTCCTGAGCATAAACCTCTCTATCTGTATTGAGAAGCCCCGCATGTTCAGGGTGGAGGTGATCATGGTTCAAGGTATGAGTCCACTATGTTCTGGCTTGGCTTCTTGCTTGCTTTGAGAGGCCAATCCAGAGCGTAGAAAATCAAAAGTTGCTGCCGGGGCAAGATGGAGAGTGGCCAAGGCTGAAATCAGGGTCCAGTGACCGCACTGTGGAGAGGAAACCCTTTTTGAAAACTGGGTCTTGGACAGTGGTGGATTAAGGCTCACTGGTGCCCTAAGCACTGACAAATCTTGGTGCACCCCCTTCTTTGTACATACTGTTGAAATTTTCATCATTTTTTTTTCCTTTCTCAACTTTGTGGTGCCCCTTTGGGTCTGGTGCCCTAAGCATGTGTTTAGTCTGCTTAATAGTTAATATACCACTGGTCTTGGAGATCGTCGACTGCTGCAGGCACGGAGGATTCCCTCCCGCCTTGCTACTCAATCCTTTCCCCTCTCCACTTGGTGACCTCCGAGTGCTGGACCATAATCCACAGCAAGGATGGTCCCATCTTCCTGCAGGGTCCCGTCTCCCGGAGGGCTCCTAAATCTTGGCTGCCATAACCCAGACTGGGAAACGGGGGCTTGTAGGCCAGAACTAGAAGCCCCTCCTCTTATGGCAGAGGTCTTCAAACTTGGCAACTTTAAGACTTGTGGACTTCAACTCCTAGAGTTGGCGAATCCCCCCCCCCCCTTAAGCCAGGAGTCTTCCTCCCTGGCTGGAGAATTCTGGGAGTTGAAGTCCACAAGTCTTAAAGTTGCCAAGTTTGGGGACCCCTGGCTTAAGGGGGATCTTTATGATTTCCCCCCTCCTACTATAGCAAAGCGGCTTTAGATCTGGACCGGGTGAGCCTCAGGGGTGGGGGACTCTCTTCAGACGACCTCGTGCATTTCGGGCCGAGGATCAGGTCAAGTCGGTGGCACCAAAGAGAACCACAACGGGTCAAAAGGCGCACCCGCTGTTGTGTTCTCGGCTCCCGCTCAGGTAAGAGGGAGACAACCCCGGGATCTCAGGCACGCTGCGGGGCAGAGAAAGAGCAGCCGGTCGGTCGCTGGGCTCACAGCAGCCCAGGCGGAGCTTGGCAGGCGGCCCGTAGAGTCGCCCACCAGCCTGGGCGGCTTGCAGGGGAGATGACAGAGAACGCCTCCAGGTTGGGTTGGAAAAGAGCGCAAGCCCCGCGAAGATCGCTGAGGCTCCGGGGCGGCGGCGACGGCGGGGGACGGGGACTTGCCTCCTATTTCCTGGCGATAACGCCTGGCGGCGGAGGGAAAGCGGGGGAAGGGACTTCCTCCGTTGCCAAAAACACCCCCTCTCCCCGCGATGACTCATCGGGTCCCTCCTCCGTTCCTGAACACGCGAAGATGCAGGCAGATAGTCCAGAAGTCTTATGTCTGTACCTTAAATCAGGAGTCTCCAACCTTGGCAACTTGAAGCCTGGCGAACTTCAATTTCCAGAATTCCCCAAGCCAGCAAAGCTGGCTGGAGAATTCTGAGAATTGAAGTCCACAAGTCTTAAAGTTGACAAGTTTGAAGACCTCTGCCCTAAGCTTTGCTGGCTGGGGAATTGTGGGAGTTGAAATCCGCCAGGCTTCAAGGTGCCAAGGTTGGTGACTCCTGCCTTAAATTATGCCCTTTGGGTTTGGGAATCTCGAATACTTCTCTGCAGCATCCATAGCTATGGAAACTGGAAAAGAAGAGAGTGATGTAAGGCTAAGGATCTCACAGCAAAATTGATAAAAAGAGGCTTTGCGAGTTAAATAGAAAGGACATGAAGCGAGAAAAGGAATCCCTTTTGATCAAAATATGATACCAGGCACAATCACTGCTCATCCACTCATCCTGGATGCTCCAACACTGGAAGTTTTAAAGAAGAGGTTGGACAACCATTTGTCTGACATGAGATAGGATTTCCTGCTTGAGCAGGGGTTAAATTAGAAGACCTCCAAGGTCTCTTCCAACTCTCTGTTATTCCCCAGTGTTTTTGAGCCAGATACCAAATATGAAGGCAGGAAAAGCAATCTGGATACCGAAATTGGGCTGCTGCTGCATAGTTAAAGTTGGAGGGTGAGGCTGAAGGAGGTATCTGCATAATTATCTCATAGTTGCAAAAATGGGAAGGGAAAAAAAGGTGGGGGGAGTTTCTCAGAATATCTCCATGGGGGAATGAATAGAACTGGAGGATAGGAACTGGAGCAGGATTAGAATGAAATTCCTATCACATCAAGTCATGTCAAGGGTAGGGGAAAGAATAGGGCAACATTTTAATATTGTTTCTGCTATTCCTATGTAATAAATTAATGTGTGCTCCAAACGAGCAGGTTACAGGGTCTAATTAATTGCACCTTTGTGAACAAGGGCTAATAATAGCTTTCTCCTACCTCCTATTTACTCAGAAATCTGTTTCACAGAACTCAGCCTGGAAGCCTGTGTATGTTTAGCTGCAATTACTTCTATTGTATAGAGCAGGGCTTGGTCCTAGGAAAACATGAATAAGGTTGCCCCATGAAGGCGCTCCTACTAGGGCTCCCACTCTGCAAACAAAGCTGGGTTGGTGTTATCTCACCTCCTGAGTTTGGTTCCATGGAAATTCATTGGGTTTTCCTACTGAATTGATTTTGGCTGTGATTGAAACAATTTGGGAGATAAAGGTAATGTTTTGTATAAAGTAATGGTGGAGATGGGAGACTCCTCTTTGCATTTGGAAGGGGTGTCCTGATAAGGATGGGTGTGTGTGTGTGAGAATAAAATAGCCGAACAGTGCTTCAACTGGCCCTCCTTCTTGACTTCCATGCTAATCCAGCCTTCCTGCCTGCCTTTGTTGTAGATCTCCTGGATGATCTGAATGAGAGCCGGGAATGCGTCAACTGTGGCTCCATCCAGACCCCCCTGTGGAGAAGAGATGGGACTGGCAACTATCTCTGCAATGCCTGTGGGTTGTACACCAAGATGAATGGCCTAAGTAGGCCCCTGATCAAACCTCAGAAGAGAGTGGTGAGTAGTAGCGATGATGGTGGAGAGATAAAAGTATTATAGTTCTGTTTCCCCTCTAAGGTTGTACCCATAAATTGTCTATTAATAACATTAAAAAAACACCCCAGTGTGAATTCAGGAGCTAGGGTTATAGAACCCATTTCATGGTATTACTGAATTCATTTTTATTTTGCTTCCCATGGCACTTTAAAGCCACATCTAAGGTAAAATAAAATAGTTATTGTGTGTGAATAGATGAAACATTTATTTAACTGCACATGAAAATAGCAATGTAATAAGAACTCAATCTGTACCTATTTAAATTTATTCACTAGGCTACACAATTAATTTCCTGACCTTCCATAGTACCACAATTTAGAGTCAATGGTGACTTGAGGTTGCTTTTCTGCTTGATTTAGTAGACACAATTGCAATGTTGCAAATATTTAAGACGACAAATCCTTTTGCAAACAATGGGTGGTAACATTATTTATGTTTGGATGATGCATCTGAGGAAGTAGCCTGCTGTCTACTTTTTAGTGAGAATTGAACAGTATATGTTCAAGCATATGTTTTTTTGTGCTCTGATAAGGAGCACCACGGGTGACTTTAATTCTAAAACTATTATTTTCTCTTGATGTTGTCCTCCTTTCAAAACTATCTTGAATCCTTTTAGAAATATGGTGGGGGATTTTAAAAACATTTTTAGGTGCAAGTTTTTTGGTAATTGAAAGCAAACAAAAGCCCTTGATTATAGTTTAGCTTAGCATATAAACCTGTTGCCTGCTTTGTTCTAGTAAAAATATAGATATTGTCTTCTTAATGAATATTCCTTTGCAAATCATTGGGGCAACACGTTATGTTTTCAAAACCAAAACTGAGATGCTCACTTCCAACCAAGTGAGCCTTGAGATTTTTAAGTCTGGGTTTTCAAGAATTTAAAATATGTCAATGTACATAAGGATTAGAAACCACCAGTTCTTTAGAATGAGTCTATCTGCAAAACATACTTCAAGCATTCCTGACTGTTTTCATTTTAATGCCTTCTAAATTAATTGATGCAAGAAGTGGGTAAACCCTAAATGTTGCGATTCATTTTGAAGGGATATAAAACTTTTTTTTTAAGGGGAGGTCTTTTTTAAAAGCCATGTGAGTGGTCTGATCTGTTCTGTATCAAAGGCAGAGGACCAAAGTGATAAATCCCCAATGCTGCTGTGAAAGATGGGACAGTAACATTCAGAGCAAAGAAAAGAAGCAAGAGAACCTTCCACCTCCATTGTCCTGGTCCTTCTCCAAGGATTCTTTACCCCCCAGTATTTTATCCCCCAATTTTTTATCCAAGTATTTCCTCCACTGCTGTCGCTTCTCTCAATTTTCTTATTGTTGGTCCTGTAATATAAACAATAATGTGAAGTCAAAGCTACCATTTCTTTAGCTAGCGTGGGCCTTCATACCCATTAAGTTCTTCTCAATAACCTAGTGATGGGGAACTGTGATGGCACACATGTCACAGGTGGCCCATGGAGCCATTTCTTGGGGCATGCGAGATATAGAATAGGTGTGGATCCAAGCAGTGTGGCACTTTGTAATTAACAGATGGAAGATTGACAAGATGTTTTTGTATGGCATCCACTGTGGCGATAACCACTTGGATAGCTGATTTATGCCATAATCTTTCAAAATTATTTTTTCAGATTTTGATATTTTGTGAAACTTTATCATTATCATTATCAACCTCAACATCATCATTATTGAAAAGGTTTAGGATATATGATCAATTACATATCTCACCTCTGGTGACTACAGTAGTATATATAACTTTTATATATTGGTATTCTTTAAAAAACATTTCTTTACAAAATGTATGCAGGACGACACTGAGAAGAAATAATTAAAAATGCAGTTTTTTGAAGCAGTAATTTGAAGTTTTGCTGTTAAACAGTGTTTTTAAAATGAACTGATACTAATAGGATAGTAGATGCAAATTTTAACTTTTACATATATTTTCCTAAAATAAATATTAAAACACATGAAGCTATAAACTTTTAACTTCACTTCTGTTTTTTTCAAGCTGTGAGCTATTATTGTGTTAACTTTGTTTAATGTATGTTGTAATACAAATAATCAGCACTTTGTTTCCATTCTTATTTATCTAAGCTGTGTCATCTCTGCCAATCTGTTGAAGGACAAACAAGCAAATAATGCCCTCAAATTAAAGACAATGTATTTTTAAAAATCACACTTTCCTTATGAGATTATTATCTATACAATCAAGTTCCCTTAAACCAGAAGGCTTTTCAGAGTTAATCACTGCCTGGATTTTGCAATTGGTTATCTCCCTAATTTCATTAAGTGAAGCACAATCTAATTAGGAGGAAAAAAGGGAACAGATTGCTTTGTCATGTTTCTTTTTCTCAAATTCATTTGCCCTGCCTTGCATTGTTTACAGCTATAGCATGCTGCTTCCTAAACTATGTCCATGTATTTCAAATAAGTAGACAAGAGGAATAATAGATGTATATTTTTCATATTTAAAAATTGTGCCCATGTTAACATTTAAGAACAGAAATATGATATATATTACCACACTGTGTTTCCATGGTAGTAATGTGTACTTTAAAAAAAATAGTTAACTATCAGCAATAGATTGAAAGGGATATATCATTCACAAATTCAAGGAAAAACGTATGCTCATTTGAATGGGTTTCTTGAGAGTCTGAAAATGAAATTCTGTTGAGTTTTTTAAAATTGAGAATATAGTAATATTGTGACATTTACTGGGTGTAATCCAGCAAAAATTAGTAATACTGAGATCAGAAAAAAAATCTCTCTATAGCAACTTCAAACATATATTTTTTTACTTGTTCAATTTCTGTGATTGACCACTCCCCAGGTGACTGAGTTAAGGCACATTTCCACCCAGATCAGTGTATACATTTACAAAACTGTTTACAATTTTAAAAAATATACAACACTGATCAATTTGCTTCTGATAAATTTGAATATCTAGAAATTCATATTTTTTCTTTTCCCAAAACTCTTATGCTTATACAGTATATCCATCATTAGACCAGCATTTTAAGCAATGTGTTTACTCTATTTTTGTTATCGTAACTGAATACATTTTATTGATCTGTGTAAAATATAACAATAGCATTTAGCTGTAATAGTAAATAATATAAATAACATCCTTAAATTAGAAGGTATCAATTGCCTTATTTTAACTGAGTCACTACAGCACTTTTCTCATGTAGTGATACCCACTGAGTACAGGCAGAATTGCATTCTGGTAGATCCAGTGGTGGGATTCAAATAATTTAACAACCGGTTCTCTGCCCTAATGATTTTTCCCAACAATCAGTTC